CACCCACACCCATCCACCCACACCCCACACCCCACACCCACCCACACCCTCACCCACACCCCACACCCACACCTACACCCACACCCTAGATGGTATCGTGGAAATGGAACTGAAACTTATACGATCATAATTCTCACAGCTCACTGGAATTCAGTGAAAATTTGGTACTGGAGATCTTTGTGTGACATTGAAAGCATTCTAAAATTATTGTCGTTCGCTTTATCTGGACCAATAAATTACACATGATTCTTTGATAGATATGACCAATGATAATAAATATTCTTGTAAGCAGCAGAAACTTAATTGTATTTTTGCTTTGAAGCATGTCTAATGAAGACTCATTGAATAATTGATATATAAATGACGCTTATCGTATAGATCTCCTGATCGTTTTCTGAAACATATCAAAATTCTGTTTACTTGAAGAAAGATATGTTGGTCTACTTTCGTCATAGTTATTTGAACGGTCAAGTTCCTGGTATTCTCATACAGTAATATTCATTTCTTTATAGCCACTTAAGGAGAACACTTTCCAACAGAATTGATTGAAAGCCTTCTCATCCATACAGTATCGTATGCTCTCTTCAATAAGACAAATGGTTTTAAATTATACAACAGCAGAATATCTAACCAGTATACTTATACAATATTGTTCACAAACAATATTGATAATTTGAGGGGGCACTAACTTCAAAGTATCCAATATTTGCTATTCATTCCGTGAAAAACTTTGCAGTTTTCAATTAGAAGAACGCAATTTCAATAATATCCAAGATTAATGGTTCTACTTGAAGACAGATAAATCCACTCGATACTGATGATTACAAAAAGCATCGTGAAAATACTCTGCTTTCGAAAAACATAAATTTTTTCTTTATATTTGTGCTAAATATTATGTACGTTCGATCAAAGTAATAGTGTAGTGTGTTAATGTCGTTGTATGTGTATAACTGAAGTATTGTGTTGCCTAGATATATACCGAGAAAAAAGTTTAGCTTGTGTACATTCATCTGTATGCATGATTTGGCTATAGATGGAGCTTCAATGAGGTGCCTTGTAATTTTTATCAAAAACTACTTTCTTTTTGCTTGTTCTGTTGTCTACTGCTCGAGCAGCTTCATCAATGACGATGCATAATAAAGCAAATTGTCGGTTAAAACTACGTCACAAAACGTATTACCGTTTTTATTCTCTCACAGCTTAAACAGAGCTGACAAAATATTTAGGATACTCTGAAAATGGTTTTTTTACTATAGTGTATCATCGTTGTCAGACCTAAATGAGAACAATCTGATCAGATACAGGGACGCCACATTGATAGGAATCCTAGTTTTGCTACAATTATCAGGTAGGATACCCATTTCAGTCTCGGCTTTTGTCTCCGTATCACTTTACCTCAAAGCTTACCACTTTACGAGCATCACGTTTGGTGCAGGCTTTAATGACAACCTCTGTAACTACCTTAGTTCGATTCGTAGTTTGATATCAGCCTGCCACCAGTCTCCTTTTCAGTTCTAGTTTCCATAACGTTTTCGGCGTTCCTCCAAGTTACGATTGCCGATTTTGAATCCAGTGTTAGTCGCATTATGAGAACAAGTTTTTAGCAGTAACACCCTCATTTCTCTCAGGTTTACCTCGATTCTAATAGTCTTCACGGTCTGCATATCTCTTGAAACTTCTCTTACAGACCACAGAGCTATCGAGACTTCTTTCCGCTAGTTCTCAGCACCTTTCTCCGCTTCTTTTCGTCCCAACTGTGTTCTACCAATCCAGGTATCTTTGGCAGTTTCAGTTTATGTCCCATAGTTTTCCATCATTTCCGTCCTACCTCCAGAGTCACCATCTGGCCCGATCTCAATTCAGATGCACTGTACGATTTCTATCTCATTCACAGCATTTTTCGAAAGTTTCATGGAGTGTGGGTATGAGGGAGGTGAAGATAAACACCCACACTCTGTTGTAGATGTGGATTGGAGTGAAAGATGAGTGTGAAGACCAATACAGGCATTGTCATCGAAACTCACATTCACTCACACACCGACCCTCGCACTCATATCAACACTCCACAAGTCACACCCACACCATCCGAATATTTTTATCTGTGATATCTCTAGTAGACTGATGCAATTTTTTATACTAAACCAATTCAAAGAGTCCATCATTCTTAAGTAAACAGCATCCATCTGAAGCTGTTTGATATGTTTTTCCTAAAGAGATCGTCGTTGCCAGAGAAAAAGAAAATTTCTAGTATTCTTTTATTGATAATCGAAGAATTTTTACTGTTATAAGAGAAGCAAATCTTTCAATATGATTAGCTGCTGTTAATGCCAAAATTTTATAACGAAGCCATGAATTCTTCTATAGCGTTAGTCATTTCAGCACACGCTTTGGGAAAAACTCCTACATCGATAACGAAAGATATTGAACGAAAAATCAGAGACATTTATTTTTGTCCTACCTGGACCAGAGGCAAATCCGTGAATAACACCTTTGATGAGGACCAGTTTGGTCTTAACACCAGCTTGATCGAGAACCTTTTGATATGCTGAAAGTTAGACAACAAGATAAGCTTTATACATTCTCATGTCACTAGTATACTGTACCATAACTTTCGTCTCGCAATGGATCAAGTTCAGCGACAATGAACAAACAAGGTGGTAAACCTTCGAAAGAGGAACTTAACAGCACGGAAGCACGAGGATCAGTCAAATCTTTCGTATCAGCAAATGCTGACGACATTGTCCTGTAAGAGTGTTATAAATAGATATGATTTACTAGACAGGTTCTTTACCAGTCCATCATTTCCGGCGTGAGAAAGTACATCGGATGAACGAATTCTTTGAACGCAGGTGTTGTCCGTCTTACATCGTAAATACCATAGATTAGGATCTATTCATCATAAACAAGAAGAACTCACATTTTCATATTTTATAAAAAACATAATCGTTCATGAATGCTGAAATATGTAGCGAGAAAAGTGAATCCCTTTCTCTGGAAGTATGTCCTCCAAACTACGACACCAATGTCGACCTGTTTTTTTTGTGGCATCGCTTTAATATTTTAAAATAAATATTTAAATAAATGCATAAACTATTGTAGGCTATCTATTCCTTGACTCAAAATCATGAAACCAAGTCAACATGTTTATGACGATTTAGACGCTCGATAGACATATTAAAACACTGTTCCGTTGATTTTGATACCTATCATTGTATAAGGGAGGGAAAGAGAGAGAATTCACATAAATGTTAAAAACGGCTTCATCCTGTATTACGTACAGGTTAATGCTGTAGGAAATGTGCTGAAAGTGTTTTCAATGGCATAAATAGCAATTCTACCTGGAAATCAATGTTTTTCAGTGCCCGGCAAATTGTTGCGCTCAATGCGCCACCGGCACTGTCACCAGCCAAGCCCACTTTGGCCGATGGGTCGACACCTAATAAATAAAAATTTGAAGATAGAACTTCAAATATGAACGTATGAAGAACAATACAACCGTATGATTGTTTGTTTTCCAGAATATGCTGAGCTACTTCATAAGCATCATTCCACCAAGTAGGAAATTTGTGCTCTGGTCCGAGGCGATATTCTACCGAAATCCAAACGGCTTTCGTCGCACTGACAAGGGAAGAAATATAATTAATGGAATAAGGAACTATATAGTGAGAAGTTAGTCTTACTCAGCCAACATATTGACCATGGCTTGATGCGTCTTTCGACTACAAAGCGTCCAGCCTATTCTCAACATGAAGTCAATTCTACATAGATCATTTCAAGTGACAATCTTTCATGTTACCTCCACCATGAAAAAAGATCACAAGTTTTGTCGTATTGACATCGACAGGTGTGTAGATAGTTATTGGTATCTCTGTTAAGTTGATGAGAACGATTGAAAATCGATCGATATGATAGATCTATAATATCTACCTGTTGAATTAGCTGCAACCTTTTGTTCTTGTAGAGTTCCTTTGAAAGTATCGATGAGTTTTTCATTCATTTTAACGGACAGAGATTCTGTTTGTTGGCGCTTTGTTGTGATATCTATATCATTTGTTGAAGGAGGTGCCTGCATGATCACATTAAGAAAAGCACGAGTCTCATCGGTGAATCGTGGATCCCTATTTAGCATTCAAAGAGTTCAATATTTTTTGAGTGCTTATTGAATCCCTACATGAAAAATGATGACAGGATAGACCAATTGTTTCGATACTAGTTGCTTTTGATGGTTGTATTAAATCGAAGAAAGAAAAGAATGAATGCAACAAAACACCGACAAATGTTTTTACAAGTGAATACTGCGCAAAAAAAAAGAAGCAAGATTACAATAAAGATCACGTGGCATGTATCTCATGATATATAAAAGTGAAGGTCAACATTGTTCTGCTGCACTCCTTCCAAACAGTAAAGAAAGGTGAGACCACTGCAAATAAAACGAGAAAAGTTTATTCACAAGTATCATCTCTTTTTTTTGCTGGAAAAATTGACTTATAGTTCTTATCGAAGTTTTTGCTTTAGATTCTCCTCTCCAGCATTTTTTTCAAAAGAAATGTACACATCGTTACCATGCACCAAATCAGTTCAAAGATATACTAATAGAGGACATTTTTCTGTCAAAAAAAAACAAACATAGCTACGGCAGCTGAATATTTGGCAAATTGCTTATGATTTGTGTGAACGTATAATTTTCTTATGCTCTTTATTCAGTAGGAAAGTTGCGTATGAGCTGGTGTAGATGTCGTACACGTTTCTACAAAAACAATGAAGGAGCGTAGATTCCCAAAAACCGAATTCAGCTTTTGGGCCAGAGTACGTATGACAATATACAACTATAAAATTTAGATTTCTAATATCAATGATAGCCTCAACTAGTCTCTTGCGGAATATGAAAGAACGTCCTTATTTAAACGTTACATTGTTGAGATAATAGGATTGTAGCGACCTCTATTTTCCGAAAAATGACAATTTACAAAACCTGTTACGGTCGTTAGCTCCATAAACTTTTGCTCATACTGTTACTATGGAGTTAGCTCACTGAGATCTATAAAGCAACATGATTTTCGTTTTTGGCCGCATAGATTTTCGAGAGATAATAGTGAACCGAAAAAATAACAAGTTTTGGGTGAGTTTTCATCGATAAAAAATTCATCAAGTAACAAGTAAAAATCATGTCATTTAATAGAACTGGATGTGGATGTGGGCTTGCTCTTTTACCATCCACACCCTCCATGATTAGATGACTACAAATCAATGCTCAGATATCTTTTCTTTTGGATAGTAATCCAATGATGAACACGATCGATTGTAAAGGATTGTGCATAGTGCAGTGTAGCGATCGACTTTCAGAATCCAACCTACAATGATATTTCATTAGCTTTTCATACTTATAGCATGTCGCAATTGTCACAGTGGAGAATTAATACTACTTTATCATCGTCATCATTGTTCTTGCTATTGTCAGCAGCTTCATTCACGTTTATTGTAGCTAGAGGTGTAAGCCGATAGGCTGATCGGCGGCGCAGATATGATATTCTAAGGTTGCACAGCGGCGGCGGCTCGAAAATTTTAAAATTTCGAATACCATCGGCGGCGTGGCGGCTGTAATTAAAGTGTCTCAGCGGCGGCGGCTTGAAGTTTAAAAAGTACTACATTATCATAAAAATATTAGTCTATGGCCTTGTCTACACTAGGAATATAATGTAGTATCAAATTCGTGTTACATCAATTCGTGTCTACATTTGACAGTTAATGCATCAATCAGAATCCTAGACATCGAAATGAATCGTGGTTTTTGTTCACTTCAATCATAGAGGACTCCTCCATTGAAAACTGTGTCAGTCTCATTAGAAAATCGAATCAGACATTGATTGGTGCATCAAATTTAATGTTGTTCTGAAATGTGCAATAAATTTAATGCACTTTTTAAAAGTGTTTTAAATATTTACTAACTGTTCAACCAATCATGTTTCTTAATTCAGCGTCAAAATTTTTAGTGTAGACAAGGCCTATTTCAATATCTTGGCCTTTTTATTTTCAAACACATATGTGGAAAAACTTTATTTCACATCTAGATCTAGACATAATAAAAAAAGTCTATAATTAAAAATAAATATAATTGCCAGGATAAATAATAAATGAGAAATCATCACCACGATTGTTAATAAGTAAAAGCACTTAGCATACTCAAGTTTGTTGTTTTTATTTTGTTTTTGTTAATTAAAATTTAAAATGCTCGTCTCTTCTTGTATTTCTAAATATATCTAATATAAGAGACATAAACTAAAATGATAACTTAGAATTTTCAACCAACACAGAATTATGGGTTCATTCACAATTTAGAACCCCAAGCATCTGATTGGTCAGAGAACCAGCATGAAAGTGAAGGTGAAGGCGAGAAAGTTAATGAAAAAGAGATATATTGGGGTTCTAAGATGTAAAAGTATCGAATTAAGGAAAATATAAATGAAATGTTATCGATATTTACAATAGTTGCCGGCGGCGGCGGCTCGATAATTTTAAAATTTCGAATACTATCGGCGGCGCGGCGGCTGTAATTAAAGTGCCTCAGCGGCGACGGCTTAAAAATTTCTAAAATTTCTACTGTCACGGCGGCGGCGGCTTAAAATTTTTCGAGTTTATCGGCGGCGACGGCGGCTCAGCCGCACGGCTTACACCTCTAATTGTAGCAGCTCGATTCACTTTTAATGTAATGAAAATCTAAGTAGAGAACTCATTTATGGTCTTCTTACTTAATTTTACCTTTCAAGCGGGAGCAATAAATGTCAAAAGTGACCTCGATTTTTGTGTCATTTATTGAGAAGTCAATTCAAACATTACATTAGAGTATTGAAAATGTTTGCGTCTTTTACCAACGATTATCGTTTATACATACGTGATCTAGCTGCTCGTCTTTCACAGAGAATAAATATGCCGATGATTAAGGAACAAATTAGATATATCACTCCGATAGGTGTTGTAATTATTCCACTGATGAATTGTGCCAAACCAAAAGTCATATACGTATCATAACAATCTTTTTGAATGCTTTTCCAACTAATTCATAAACCAATTAAGGCGCACAATATGATACACGTAGCTTCCAAGAGCACACCCAAAGTTATCGTTTTTCAATGATAAATATTGTGGTTTACTTCAATTAAATTATTTGTGGGTTATTTCATTTTGAATAGAAATCAATCTATAAATATTGTCAGTAGTATGAAAGAAAATTCAAAGATGATTGATGGTGACTCTTTTCTAGTCCGTCTTATTAAAACCAATTCATTAAAATTTATTAGAAAGGACATTATTAATTTTAAATTATTATAGTTTATCTTCCTTGTTGATATTATGTTTTTTCAATTCAAATTTATAAATTAAAATTACGTTGCTTAATTGAATTATATTTAATTTATATCAAATAATAATAAATTATAAAAACTCAAAATGATTTTTAACTTCTGTGACGATTGGACGAAGCGAGGTTGTCTTCATCGGACTTATAGGAATGTGAAATTAGTTTTTTTTTCTTCTTCGTTTTCTTTTAGATGTTTAACATATGATAGTGGGATGGTAAGACGCTGATACTGATAGGATATATGGCCTGTTTTTCTTCTTACTCCGTCTCATTATCTTGCAACGAACATCTAATAAAAAAATGAAAGCGAAAAAGAAAAACAAATTTCACATTTCCATAAGTTTGATGGAGGCAACTTCATTTGTCAAAATGTCACAGAATTTAAAATTTTGTCAAAGTTTTTATAATTTATTTTTATGTGATGAAAAATTAAATAAAATTCAACTAACTTAATATTAATTTTTATGCTGTAATTGAAAAACATAATAAATAAGGAAGAAAAAAACAAAACTTTTACAATATGAGAGTATATTCTATCGCTTTAAATTTGCAAAAATTACATCAATCAACGATTAAGAAACATTCATCACCATATTCTATTTTTGAAGCAATGCAAAAAAAAAGAGTAATGCCCAACGGATTTCATTTGAGCAACATAATACATTAATAAAAGAACAAAAAAATCACTCAAACAAAAACAATATCCGCCATAAACATAGATACAACAAATGTGATAAATAAATCAGATGTAGAATTGACAAAAGATCAACTACAAGTATTATTAAAAGGATTGAAACATACACCAATACCTCAATCGATAAATTTATTTAGAGCATATCAAGAGTAGTAGCAGTGGTATGAAAAACAGTGCTCTGTTTTTCTGTAATAGTTCACCATTCTTCAACCAATATCATACTGATGAAACTTCAATAAGAGCTGTTTTTCTATCATATGTAATGGTTATACTGATGCTTATTTAAGAAAAGGTCAAGTGAATGGTTTTTAAATAACTTTTGACGAAAACAAGATGGAGAGCAGGAGTTTTTCACCGTTGAAAAGCAGAGATGAAGATGCATCAAAGGTACATTATAAATTTTCCTAATATGTTGTCTGAAATTCGTTTCATCAATTTTCTAAGTGTCGGAAAAAATGATTTTTTTTTTGTCACAGTATTCCCTGCCATCAAATCCCACCTCCTTCTGGACAGCTCTGATCAAGAGCTTGATGCGATATGTTCTGAGCTAATCCTTTTCATAATAAATAGTGTGGAAAAAAATTACCTTGCACCTTACTGGTATTTTTGCCAGTTCGTTTTAATCGTTTATATAAACTATTTCTTACTAGCTTTTCCATCAAGTTTCGAAAGAAGTATTCAGAGCTCATATTCAAAAGGAAAGCACCAACAATTTAATTATTTTTAAGTATTACTTTTGATTCCAGAAAAAAAGCATAAGCGGGAGATTTGGGTGACTTCGATGCACTTGAACATATTAAGTATCAAATACGAATAGTTTCCTTCAATTTCGACAGAATCATTCAGTTCAATTTTGATTGAGTAAAGAGTATCTAATAAAAGTAGTCCATAGTTGATATTCTAATCGATATGTATTGAATAATGAAAAAGAGTAAACCGTACTACAATATGCCGTCAGCCAACTATTTTCTTAGTATTCTCTACTCACAGCACATCAATATTTGAAGAATGATACTTGTGCGTCCTGTCCCTTTGTTCTCATCATCACCGAGAAAAGTTGATGTAAAATAATGGCAATCGCAATGTCTTTCTGTTTTCTTCTTCCATTTTACATTCACATCTGCTTTCGTGCATATGTGCCAAAAAGAAAAGGAGAAGAAACGAGTTTTTTCATATTTACAGTATTCAACTCTGCATTCTTAGACAGCATCTGACACGACTAGCAATACACAATAGACACGAGCACGACGATTAACAATCTTAGTAAAATGTCGTCGCCTAAACACAGTTGACAAGGTGATCCGCTACATTATTATTTGATCATCTACCAACTTCTGTTGAATATTGCAAGCAAAGGATATATAAATTTATATCATGTTCAAGTCCATCAAGGTTATGATTTATCGAGCACAGCAGAAATGCTAGTCACAACACTCATAGATGAGGTAGCCACGGGAAATCTATGGAATTGGTTAAATATAATGAACCAAGTTCCACCCTATGGTTCCATGATTTTATAACGGCATGCTCCATAAAATAATCGAATATTATCGAAAAATTAAAGAATACGGTATATCTTCGATTATGATCTGACAGTAGCGCATGAGTGTGGATGATAAGAAGACCTACACCCACATCCTAGTTCGATCTCTATTGTCAACGTTGAAGAGGTTCCGTAAACGATCGATTTGTTTTGGTGAAGATTTCCATAAGTTGTCGATCTTTCCGTATTGATCGTTCTTGATCTTCACCAATCGAAAATGAATCAACTTAGTCCGAATCGAGTCAATGTTCTTGTCGTCATCACTTTGATTCACAGTGACAGTTCGACTTGTTATTCAACAAATAGGTCATCATCACTTTAACGAAATAACAATAGAAGAGTCGATGAAAGGCATTTTGAAATTGATTAGTAGTTCAATGGACTCCATCGAAATCCAAATGAAGCTTTTTTGGAGACTTTCAAAGCCATTCTCCCAACAAAAATCAAGACACTGATGTGCTAGAATGCATTACGAGAGATATATTCTTCAAATAGCTTCACTTTTGAATCATTCGTCGTTTATCATGCTTATTGAATATTGATTAAAGCTCATCATCACACAATGCCTTCATCAGAGGTACCCAGTACAATAAAAACCCGATCTGCGCTTCAATAGCTCGGACGCGTATTTGTTACATGAAATTCCATTAGAATATTCGTTGAAGTTGCTAATAGCTTGATATGATTCCTATTCGAACGATCGAGTTTTTACGAGCAAATTGAGCATTCTCTCTTAGACACCAATAGAAAATCCTCTTTCTGTTTTTTTTTGTTTTTGTTTTAAGTTATCGCTAGAACTGTAGTCTGGTTTTTGTGTATTTTTCAAATAAATCTATATTAATACGAACGACGAGTAGTTTAGTTACTTTTATACAGACGCAAATGTATGGGTAGGCTGATCATGACGAAGAAGTCGACGTAAATATTATCATATTTAGTTGTAAAAGACTTTCGTAACGCTCCACTTGGGATTGTTTATTTTAATAACTTTTATGGATTTATTTTACACGGAATGATCATCATCATCATGTTTAGCATCAGTAATATCAATGAAAATTCTATGAAAATACTCTATTGAGCTGAATTTTTGCAAAATAAAAAAATAAAAAAAAGGTACTTATGCACAAAAAAAATATTATGACAGGATGAGATTGACTGAAAATTAATCAAAGAAAAAAAAAGCTTACGACACTCGGTATTCCCAGGCGGTCACCCATCCAAGTACTAACCGAGCCCGACGTTGCTTAACTTCAGTGATCGGACGAGAACTGGTGTATTCAACGTGGTATGGCCGTAAGCGAAAGAGAGAGTAATAGATACAAACATCATTCGTCCAAACATTCAAAAGTACAGATATAAATGGTGCTTCATTAAAGAAACTGATAGACGTATGACTCCGACTCATAAGAACAGACGAACAAGAACAAGCCTGATGGGTTGTGTTTTTTCTCCTTTATTTTCTTTCTTTCTTTCTTTCTCTTCCTCTCTTTCATTCTTACTTACAGAGCATATTTACAGAGTTAGAATTTATAAGAGTACAATGAAACTAAAAGAAACAACACAACAAAATAATGATTCGGTCGATTTGTAGATGAATCACGGTTCTAACAGTTATATATATGATAGACTTACATCACAAACCGAACATAACGATTATTAAACAAAAGAATCTTAGGAAAAGCTTGGAGAAGACATTCGATCTCTGTAAAATATTTTTCTTGATAAGTTATTTTCAAGCGATTTATTTGTGCTTAAACTAACATAAAACCTTGATTAACACTTGTATGTCATATTGTAATTGTCAGTAAGTTGCTTCATTACAAATTAAACCTAATATTTTCTCTATTAGATTCATCAACAATCATGATAATCAACAAAGATCATTGAAGAAGCAACATTTTTTCCTCGAATACATTGCATTTGAAAATCAACTACTTTGATTCGTCTATACATTCACATCTATGCTCACTCTTAAATATGATGGATTTTTCATTTTCTCTTTTGGCAATCGTGACATGTCCTCTTTGCATGATATGAATCATTCATAGACATTAAATGAAAGTTGCTTGCTACATGTATATATTATTCGTGCTTTTCCGCATGAAGAGCGATATGCTTTCACAAGAGATACTTGAGTAACTGCTTTGATTTGCGCAGAAAAAGTTCGATAAGTATGCACAATGAAGTATTTGGTGTCTTGTAGCTATGGAGTCTTTCTCGTTCACAAAAACAAACAAAATCAATATTCAACTCACGTCTAGGTTAGTATCATGTGGCATTTTTCAATATTTCGATAGAAGAAAATGCTTGTAATTTTATAGTTGAGTGATCAACAGAATTGCCACTGCATACTCTAATGTGTGTTCCGCCTTCTACGGACGTAACCGATCGTGAATGCGGAGAGATGGAGCATATAGAACGTTTTCATACAGCTGACGTTTCACAATGGATAACGGAAACCTTTATCGGTGATCAGCGGCTGTATACACGGTGTGTCATGTAAAATTAGTTTTTTTTTTTCAATCCGATCTTTTTTCTTTTAGATCGATATCGATACGATAACGATTAATGACATGATGTAGTCAGTACCTTCGGCCTGAGTGGATGCCTAGTAGGCTACTAATCGCTTTAAAACTACGAAGCTCGTTTCCTATCACCTACAGTGTTTTTTGTTTTTCTTGAATTCGAATCACGATCTGTCTAGACCATTTGACACAAAAATGAAACGTTGCTGTATTGTGACGACCATCGTTAGAGAGAAATACTCATCATCATATTAAAGAAGTGTGCATATATGCTATGAATGAAATTTCCGATGTTACAAAATGCAGATCTTTATAATGCACAAAGGAAAAGCCACGCTAGTGAGCCTATTTGAGATCGTATATCGTTGATAATGACATACCAGTGGATAAAATGAAAGATGTTTAATAGTAGAGCAAAACTCGATTGATCACGACTCCAATTCAGATACCGAGTACAGACACCTCGCAGCTCAATAACAGACGAGAACAAATCCTATTTTCTAGTCTCAACATCCTACAATTCTGTTTCCTTATTTTATAATTATTACTATTGCATATATTCTGTTGTAGATAACAATACCGAATAGATCGTGTTTTAATTTTCCTCTAAACTCTGTGGTTACTCGGATTGACTGAAAATACTTGAAAGAACAACTTCAAATGTAAGTCAGGGCAAAGTATAGAAATACGTTTGATCTTGCATATGTCTGTATAGAAGCAAATGAGCAATGAGCGATTCCGTGATGAAACATCATAGTAGGACGATTCTAAACGATGGATCAGATATTAGCGTGGAACAAATGAAAACATCATTTGATACATTTGTTTCTGCATTTAAACAAACCGATATTCCTGATGTAAAATGTATGTTAATGGAACAAATTATTTCCTCATTAGCCAATACATCACATATGTATAAGCACCTTGCTGAGTCTGAATTGGTCACACACGAGATTTTTATCATTTTACGTGACTATGTAATTATCAATCAGCTTCGTCTAAAACAAACAGAAGACAATGCTACACAAAAGGTTCTGTTAGATGTTTCAATCTTGTTTATGAATCTATGCTATTGTATCAACAATATCAATATTACTAAATTTAAATATTTACTTTTTCATAAACCATTGATTGACGAACTCACGAATTGTCTTCATGAGATCGGTATATATGGTAAATATTTGAACGATCCTTTGCGTCTCCGTTCAGTTAGCTCTTTATTAATAGCATACAAAAAATTTCTAAAATATTATATCACAACAAATGAGTATTCTCTAATTGCACCAATACTTTTTACTGTTATTCAATGTTTATGCTCTTCATATGCTATTGACATGATCAAACGTTTGGAACAAAACTTTGTTCAAAAACTCGATGAAGATCAAATGCTATTTCTTCATGCAATGCCACGGTATTTACAATGGTATTCGGATTATCGTGATCCTGAAAATTTTATCAAGATTTTACGAATTTTATTGAAAGAATTTACAGCATGGTTTACAAGTTGTCAAGCAGACTCCTATCTTCAACGTTCTTCTCAGATCGATGCTATGATTTGTCGACTAAATTATTTTCTCGTTCGTCCAATCGAATCGTACAATGTGAACATTTTCAGTGAAGAATTTTATCATGAATACTGTAAATTAGTTTTACATTGGTCATTAATTTTATCATCTACATTTTCATGTTCTTCATATACAACGAATGTCAAGTCAACGATACATACTAGCATTCAAACAATGTATAATTTCACATTGCATTTAAATGTACTTAATTTTATGAAAACTATACCGAATTTGATTTCAATGCTTTTAAAAGTAACTGATTTTGATCATGATGAAACACAATTGAATGCATATCGTTGTTTGAGTAAAATTATGATCGAAGCAGATATAAAAACTATGAGTAATCCGAGCAAAATTGCTGCTGTACACATGGAATTTCTTACAAATACTATCAATGATTCAACAAAAACAGCACGATTTTATAGTGTATTGGAGAGTTTGAAAAGTAAATTTTTATCTATTGTATTTTTATGATTAAATCGAATATGCATTAAAAATTTTTGAATTCTCTCTAGATTTTGTTCAACATGATCAAGTTAAAATTGAACTAATAAAACAAGAAGTACTTCCTGTATTAGTAACGTGCGTCGTAGAAAATCAATTCGATCCTATCAAAGTACAATTGGTAGCTCTCGAAATTCTTTATGCTCTCTCGTTTCATAGCGAAGCTTGCTCTGTTCTGAGAAAAAATGAAAATTTTATAAATCACATTCGAATCTTGGCTACTAGGACCGATTCGAGTCAACTACGTTTATATCGAGCTGCCGAAGGACTTCTTTGGAAATTAGAAAAAGAAAATGAAGCTGTTGCTAAACCAACTATTTTGAATTCGTACAAATACGATATCATGATAAGTTATTCACATAAAGACAAAGAATTGTGTCTTCAAATTCATGAACAATTAATCAAAGATGGCTTTCGTGTCTGGCTTGATAAAGATTGTTTGCGTGGATCTACAATGGCCGGCATAGCGAATGCAATTGAAAATTCTGAATATGTAATGATATGCATGTCGAATATGTATAAACAAAGTGTCTATTGTCAATCGGAAGCTCATTATGCATTCGAACGAAGTTGTCGTCTTATTCCAATCATCGTCGAATTGAATTATAAACCTGATGGATGGCTCGGTATCATTGTCAGTGGCAAGATCTATGTAGATTTTGTGAAAGTTGAATTTGGCATAGCTTATGAAAAATTGAAGAATGAGATTAGTGAACAACAATATCAAACTTTGACTCAATCATCGACAATATCTGAAGAAAAATATCAGATTAATATGATGTCAATGAATACAAAACATGTTGAATTGGCTTCTGAATCGATCGTGTGAGTTTCATATATTTATTTTGTAACTCATGTTTAGTAAGCGGACTAAACAGAAATTTGTGTTCGAAAGCTATAAACTCAAGCATGGAATCTAATATTTTCGATGTACTATAACATTAATAGTAATTATGTCGTTGACATTTAAATTGAAAATAGAATGCTCCGTCCATAAGTCATTGTGAAGAATCACAGAGTTCAGTATGATTTCATTTTTCAGACGTGAAACTTTTTATGATTTCTTCCATGAAAACTCAACATGCTTTCAGATGTTGTCTTCAAAATTATTTTCTAGTTTTATCCTCAACTTTGGCAAACATGAAGATGTTGATGAGATTCATTAAATATGAAAATATCATTTGCTTTGATATCTACTAATCTGAAATATATACGATATTTATCCTCCAGTTATGTTCTAATATCTATATCTACGGCTAAGTAATACCCAAATATATCAAGATGTTCATAAAATATGAGCTTCAAATTTTTCGTACAAAGTTAATCGAATCGATAGAAATAAGATTTTATTTCTTTATAGACCAATAAAGTCACTCGAAAAGCTTTCCCTATTTTCGTGATTTAATTGAGCAACACGTCTAAAATAATTCTTTTCAATATTATCATTGAACTATGTGATCTATATGGACATAGACCGTTTTGTGAAAGTTACAGAGACATATTAAAGACCAAGTAAAGGAATCCTTGTTATGGTTTCATTAATACCGAACACTTACTTTTTTTTTCAAAATTTCGGTATCATTTTCTTAGAGGTTGAGACTGAAATCCAATACCCAACCTAGTCTGATGTTAGATAATCCTTAAGTCCACTATGTACAAATGATTTTTCTGCTCAACAAATGATCTCAATTAAACTTTCACTGTTCTCCTGTAGGTTAATCGCTTCATTTTTCCTTCAGGAATATCACATGCTTAACTAGTTAAGCGATGTGATCTTCTTTGTTACAACGTATGTACTGCATACTTGATATTCTGCTATTGTCATATACATATCAAAACCCCCATTTTGTGTCTAATTAGTGAACTGAGTTAAAGCGAAAATACGATTTGTTTCTTTCTGAAACTTAATGTTTCTTGAAATAATTCATATTTTAGTCACGGTTAGCTTGCTAGATTTAGTCTCATTATTGACTATCTATAATAAATTTTCTTACTCAAGTATTATAATTTATCCATCATTATAGTGATTTGCCGAATTGTATCACTCAATGGAATCAAGATCATGTCAAATCATTTCTTCTTCAAATTGGACTTGGTGATACTATTCTTCCTCTTTGTAAAAGCATTGATGGTCATCGTCTTCTAGAACTCTATGAAATGTGTCTGATAAATCGTGAATCCATGTATCAATCGTTGAAATTCGAACTAAACGATAGATACCACACATTACTACCGATCGTCGATTATCTCACTTTTCTTCATGAAATTAAACTGTATGTTCCGTCAACTTCGGCAACTATAAAAACTATACAATCTTCTTTTCTTTCGTTTACAATGTGTAATTTTATGTAGAAATATTCGACTTCACTCTACATGAAAATAAATGATAAACATTAGTAAATGCATTTTAATTATTCGGTGGTAAATGAGTGAATGTGGATAGGTGAAGGTAAGTTTCTTCTCTTGATCTACTTATCTCCATCTAACCATCCGAGTGATCCTTCACTCAGGTATAGATCTTTGATTATGGGTAGAAAATGATATTCTTTTGTATGAAACCTAGCCACATATTATTAATGTTGATCATCTGAACGCTAAAGTTGTCGGAAATGTAAAGATCACTTTTCTATTTCGTTTATCAAATCAGTTCCTTCATAAAAGAGATCTATTCTATGTCAGAGTTATTCTCGATATAACCAAGTCCATTGACTATTTGAATCAATAGTACGTAGTTGAAATTGAAAAGATCACAATTAATCGAAAAAAAAAACAATGTTTATTTGAAATCCATTTGTCAATCGTATTTGCTAAATCTTTTCTAGAAATAAAAGGATTTCTTTGATAAAAAGAAAATGTTCATTGTTGCAATAAACTTTTATTCAAATACTATTTTTAAGATATCGCTTGATGATATTGAAATTTTGAAACTATTCCATTCTATCTGCTTTTAAGAACCAACAATATGAAATGTTTATTACAATGAAAAAAAAAATCCATACAATCACTATCTACTAAATATGATCTTTTTTTTTTTTTTAAAATGATAAAAATTGAAAATAAGAAGAAGAAGAATAACAACTAAACTTTAACAACTGATGGAAATGAACCACTTGCAAATCGTACTTCACTTGAAGGATATACTCCAACTGTAGGATGTGCTTTCATTGATGGATATGTCATTGATGTAAATTTCGATCCTTGTCGATAATCATTAGTATATGAACGAGATGGAACATTACCAACACCTTCATTTGTATATGGTCGACGATTGTAAAAATTTACAGGTGATGGTGTTTGCATTGATGAAATAGTTGAAGGTGACATTCCTGAGTTAAATGTTGATGGAAAACCTTGTCTTGATGAAAAAGATGCAGGTGATCCTGCTGTTTGATAGTCTGATGGTGGAGGTGCATTCTCTGTTGCTATCAAAAAAGATGGAATAGATTTAAAAAAAATAAATAGAAAAATTTTTAGAATTACATACATGGTTCATTTACAGCAGAAGGAGATCCTGAAGGCATAGATGCACCATATATTTGAATATCTAAAATGAAAATATTGAAATAAAAATAATACCAAAACAAACAAAAAAAGAAATAGAAATCATATACTTGGACAAACATCCGATGCATGTGGAAGTGCATCACAAGGTATAACATCGAGAGCAGGTATTCCACATTGAACTTTTACAGCTAAAGAAAAAAACAAAAATTTCTTCATTTTAAAAAGAAAAAAAAAAAAAAGACGAAAAATAATTTTTCAAATAACAAACCACGACAAAAATGTTGACATGGAAGAACAAGTGGAGGTTCATATCGTACTCGACATGGTTGAAAAAGCATTGGACATAATAAATGACGTAATGAACGAATACAAACTGAATCTGTTGTTGAACCTATTAAAGTTGTTAAAATATGTGCAATTTGCCAACGATCATAATGACCAAATGAATTTGGTAATGAATATCGTGCTTGTGGTACAGCACCACACATATCCGAAAAAATAGGATATTGTGAATCAATTAATGAATTACATGTTGAACCACCAGTAAACATTGGATTATTAGTCGATGACATCATTGGTAATGATGGTGGCATAGTACTAAAAATAAAAGTACAAATAATAAAGATAGAAAAAGAAAAAAACAACGGAAATTATTTGAAATATTTACTTTGGATTTAGATTTCGAGACCAATTATTTCGATTCTTTAAAAATTCATATGAAGATGGAACTACTGCTAATGGTGGCCAACGTGAACGTGGTCGATAAGTCATTTCTGGTGGAGTAAATGGTGGATATCGACCATATGCATAGGCTGGTAATCTTGAATATATATCATCCACTTCATCATCATCATCATCTTTATCTTGAGAACCTACGTTTTTCCTTGAATTCATAGTACCATCATCTATATAAAATAAAAAAATTTCTTTTATTATAAAAATTTTATTATCTATAAAAACTTACTTTTTCGTTGATCTTGATCGGCAAATGCCGATAAAACAACGATAGCAAATAGTATTGTAAATAAAAGATATTGTTTACTATACATCGTTAATATGCTTACACTGCACTCGATTTTTTGAAAAATGAACTATGTTTCTATATTGTAGTCAGCTAGAAGAATAAGAAAATATATTCTTTCTTTTCTCTATCTATTTCGAAAGAATAGAATGATGCCTGGATTTAATTATATATGTATGCACCGAACACATAAAATTGTGTGATAAATTATATAGAAAATAAAATCCAGTCCAAAGATTATTTCTCTGATCATTCTTTCTACTGACGATATATATGTAATCGATTAACAAAAGCATTCAAGCCTTTTGACAATGGATTAAGATAGTAAACTTTCATATTCATTTGTATATAGTCAAGTTATTTTCTGAATCATTATAATACCTTGAATAAGAAAAAAAAAATGTTGTATGTGTATTAGACAAAATTTTAAAATAATTTAATTTAAAAGTAATTTGAAATGAATTAAAACAAAGAAATATTTCATATAGAATTATTTATATAATTACATCGTAATTAAAAAAAAAAATAATTATGATAAACGAATAGATATACTAATTTAATTCTATTATTTCATTTATTTATTAACATGCAGAGGATCATTACATTAGAATAAATTTTTGAACAAAAAAAAACCAATTATCGAATTTTGGAATATTACATCTCAGATGGATGAGATACGACATTCAAAAATTTTGAATTATTTTTTTTTATCAAATGAAAATTTGGTTTTACTAAAAAAAAAAAGCTTATTCTAATCTCGTAGTTCTCTTCTTGTTGGTAAATAAATGCGTTTAAAAATAACGGATCACTTAAGAATATTACCTTGTTAGCAAGCTCTGATTAAAAAAAAATAAAGAATGAATTTGAAGTTTATATTTATTTATTTTCGAATTAAACATGGTTTATACAGGTTGATTACGTTATTTTTAATAGTTTTGTATAGTTTGCTGTA